TTTGCTAACGGACATACTGATACTCATTAATTTGCTAGGATAACTTTGCATTTCTAATAGAAAACAAGATAATAATGATTATGATTTGTATTGGCCACGATCTGACGAAAAATAAAAAATAGAGATTTCAGAATTGTTAAAAAATTTGTTAAAATCAGAATATTCAGAGTTACACTATAAAATAATACATACTCCAAGGATTAAAGCTCTCATTTCGCGAGTATAATGAATAGATGGTAACGATGGTAATCTCCGGCCTCGTAAAAATTCGTTGATCCGTCAGTCGGACTAAATGAATAATTAATCGAAAGATCGTATTGATCGACCTGAAAACAGTATTCGCGTTATTTTTACAAGGAATATGACATTGCGGTCGATGTCGCTATTTTCGGATCGACAACCTATATACGATTTACATATGTTGCCCAACGACACGGGCGATTAGAGCGAAAAATATTGCACGGAGTTTTACGCGCGCATTTACACCGCATGATTTGTACAACGGTTGGTGCGAAATCGGCTGTAAAAGCTTATAATCTATACGTGTAATTTTGTATCGCGTCGCACGTCTTCGTACACAGTTGCTATAGTTGCTATAAATATCACGGAGGAACAAACGTAAATAACGCTTCTCGCACTTCCTGGTATTCTTCCGCGTTTCATGGCGTATAGCGCAGTAAGAACGTACGAGTACTCGTAAAATGCGAAGCCGAGTCAAAACCGGGTTTTCAATTTAAAAAATTATTAATATCTCCACACGCGCGAATGTCCGTTACACGTTTTAATCCAGTTTCCAACATCTATAAACATGTCAAAGAAAATGCGTAGTTCGCTTAATAGAAATATCGCTTCCACACTTATAAGCTACTAATTGCAAGTGCATCGCGTTTGTGGAATTGCGTGACATTTGAACCGAGGTGATCTTCCTCTAATCGCAAATGGCAATGTGCCTCGAAAGAAAAGCGTCGAGCATTGTGATAAAAAATGCGAATGAGAGATGCTCCTGTCGGTCGTTACATTATTAAGCGTAATTGTTACTTTAGTGACTGCAGTCGCGAAATATTCCGTTGCGTGCGAGGATGCGCGCTCTCGTGTAACGTCCTAAATAGGCTTCCCCCGATTTCCGACGTTGAATGCGAAGGCGAGAGGCCGCCGAAAGAAGAGCGCGTTTTTAACGCGACGAGGTAGCGCCCTGTGAAAAGCATTCCAGCCACCACCTGCGTCCGAACGCCCATAATTATGTTTCTTATGTGCGTCCGCTTCTGGTACGGAGCGTTTGGATATTTTGCCTGCCGGAGAACGGGGCAGTCTTTTGGCGCGCGTAAACGCCTTCTGTTAGACTGCAGGGCGCCTTTAAACGGTGCCCTTCGTTTTCATCTCGCGCCTTTCATCTCGCACGAGTACATGTCGCGCCGACGACGCGTTTGTACTCGGCACTTTGGACCTCACACTTTACAAAAGCGCGTATTTAGCATAGATCTAGATATATGCTTGATACTTTTACAGACTTAAACTTGATTCGATATTCCCCGTTGAAGATGGAAGCGATCTTTTTCGAGTCAAATATCGAAATTCAAAAATGATTGAGCGTTGTACGGTCGTCCGTAATTTTGCAAATCAAGATTTCATTAAAGTGAAATTTATATTAATACTCTTAACTGTAGAAATTTAATACCATACATATATTTCTTATTATTTCTATTCGCATATATTTTTCCATAATGACCGATATCAAAGAAGAATGCGATAAGAATTTAAAATAATTCTCATACATAAATTGACTGCATAGATACAGCATAATTGACAAGCAGATACATAATAATTAGCGGACGTCACCTTAATTCTAACGCAGGCGCAATCTTCCATCTCGGAAATATTATTTCTAAAAATACACGAGCAGTCGCGCGAAGAGGTGCTGAAGGCATGGTTATCACTCTACCGACGCTAGAGAATCACCGCTATTAAAAAGGAGGCTGCTCCGAAACTGCGTGGCTCTCTCGCATCAGGGAGAAAAAACCCACACACAACGGATACTTTAGATCACAACCGGATTCACGCTCGCCGCGGAGAGATCCGCGGCTCTGACTTAATTCCCCAGGACCTATATTTATCGTATCCGATACCAGATTTCGAGCTGTCAAGTCGGACGGGGGCCAACGAGGCCTTTCCACATTGCGGTCCAACAGGAGAGTTCGCGTGACGGCAACAGACACGTTGCTCTCCTCTCCCCAGTCCCCATTCACTCTCCGTCCCTCTCCTCGGTCGGCTTCCCTCTTGCTTCCTCTCTCCCTTTCTCTCTCCCGCTGATCCTCGTCCGCCTTTTCTCTTTTTCGTTTTTTCTTCCTCGACCGCCAATTCGACGGCGCCGACCAATCGAGCGGCAGAGAACTCGCTCTATAAGCCTCAGCACGCAGGCGGACCGGGTTCCTCTCTCGACGAAATCGACGGAAGAGGAACCCCCTCGCCCGCGGGGATCGCCGCCGTGAAATAATCCGCTGATAAATTCCTCCAAGATCTGCCTCTCGCAGCCAGAAAGGTAGAGAAGCGAGCGATTCTTTACGATCCGCTCGCGGCGGTTGATTCCTTGAATGAACATGTCCCATTGACAAGCAACGTTCGATTGCTTCATCGATTGCCGCTTCGCGTCTCTACCTTGATTAGCAATATTCACACGAGATGTCTCATATTTCTTGAACAGGCAATCGTATAGTCGAGAATAGATGAGAAATAATACTTTCTCATCTGAAATGTGTTAGGATGTCAATAATTTACCGCACAAGAATTTATAAGCAAGAGAAGAATTTTGACAATTTTAAGCTTCAAGGAATAGATCTTAGTCTTTGGTCAATTTTAAATGGACTTTAAAGACTTTAAGAGAAGCCTGAATTGAAATCAAAATATTTTGTATGTTGAAACCTTAAAAAAATCACGAGAAAAAAAGAACAGTCCAATCGTATCATTTTAGGGGAAATCATTTCTGCTTATCGAATGCATTTTGACGTTCGGGATATATCGTATTTCCAATTGAATATGTATCTGTTTATTATTCAATCGGTCATTTGCATTAATTATTCAGTAGTTGTCGACAGCCTATTTGCATCTTTATGATGTTACACATTATGATGTTGCAGGTATATGATACATCCTTATTACACGAGGTTTTGCGTTTTAACTGCACCTTATATAATTAAATTGCAGCACAGAAATGCAAGATAAATCGTTAACTAGATTCGGTTAATCAAGACATTACTCAAATTAATCAATGGAGACAATATTCGGAGGTAGGTCGCAATGTAAATGGAAGTGGATTACATCGAGCAATATTATGCCTGGGTATATAGAGACGACGACGACGACGGGCGAAGACAAACTAATGTACACGCTATGCACTATGCAGTAGCAAATAGACAAACTAACGCGAACATGCGCTATCCAGTAATAAAGACGATATAGGAGATTAACGTAAAATAACGCGTCATATACATATACAAATCTTAATCATGGAAAAGTACTTCAAGATCTTCTGTACAAGCGTAAGAGATAAACTATGAAACCAGATGAGTAAACAATCTTTGGCGTAAAGGAAAATATCGTTTTTTGTTATCATTATACATAAAATTCTCTCAAAAATGCGACCTATCTCGGAATAGTCCGTTAACCCTTAAAGCGCACATGGGGTGTAGGATACCCCACTCCGAACTTTGTGCTCTGATAAGTCCCATTAAAATGTCTTTTTCAATAATTTTTTAAACAATGTTAATTTTAAGAAATCGCTATAACTTTTGTTTATCCTTAAAATACATGACTTTAACTTCATTCAGAAATTTTTATGCAATAAAATAGTCAATAGCGTCGTTACAGTACATACTTAAAGACACTGGGGTATCTCATACCCCCAGTGCGCTTTACGTAATTTTTCGGAGACGTGCGCTTTAAGGGTTAAATAAATCATTAAATAAAGGAATACGAGAAATATTCTTCTCAAAATGCAACGAGAATATTTCTACGTGCGTGAAAAACCTGTCACATATATTCTACACATTAGAATAATCATAAATTGCCCGAGTATTTTATAACGTCATTATATTCATTAGCCACTTCACAGCCGTCTCTCTGTTTTCTCAATTAGAACCTCGTACCAATTCAAAAGCAACGAAATCCCAAACCCAAACGAGCCAACAGGTTAACGTTTGAAGCCGCCGAAACGCGGGCGAAATAAAGGAAACAAGAAAAATCACGTGCTGTCCCTCGAGGGAAGCACCCTCGGGGCCAGTCCAACGTTCCTGGTCCATCCGTAGCACGCGCGCGGCATCCCTCCGCGCTTGGATCCACGATCCATGGACCAGTCTCGCATACTGCGGAGTGGAGGGGGAGGGGGGACAATGTCTCGTCCGATTGGCCCGCGCGATCTCTCGCAAGCGTGTGCGAGCGAGAGAGTGACGCGTCGTTGGTCGAACGGAGACAAAAGGAGTAGAGGGGGGCGGGGCAAGAAGGGGGTAACACGCATCGGGGGCTGCGGGGAGCGGGGAGCCCGCGACCGGAGAGGGACTCGCGGCAGTTCGGAGTTCGGATGCGCATCGTGCGAGGACGGCGTTTCAGTTAGCGGCGAGCCGCTGTCGAGGTAGGGTTTGTTTTATCGCCGGTCGTTTCCGCCGGCGCGTTCGTTCCCGATCGCAGCCGATTTCCTCCTTCGCTTTTGCGCGGCCACGAAACTCGTTTCGCGCCGTTCGGGGAAACGAGACGCGTTCTCTCGAGATCGTAGCGAGGGTGATATTCCGCGAGTCTGTCTGACTGAGTGCGAAAAAAAATAAACAAACAAATAAACTTTCGAAGTGGTGAGTCAGGCGGCTCCTCGGACGGGTCCGGTTTCAGTGTGAACAGTGCGTTTATCTTATTCCGCGAGACTAAACGTACATGGTTTTAGATTCATCATCGTGTCGCGTTCCAAGTATTCTAACTTGGCCAGTGCCAATATAATGTGAGCCGTGAGTGACAGAGACGGGTTTCAGCGAGACACAGAGAAGTACAACGGAAAATTAAATTGCGCCTCGATTTCAACATGACGCGGAGCGAGGCCTAGGACCGAGATCGCATCTCAGTTGCCCCTTTCCGTAGAGGGGAGAGTAAAGAGAGCAGGAGGGAAGACGGGGAAGAGGTGAGTGAAGAGTGAAGCTTCTCGTGATCGTCAGGGTCGCGTTGAACCGCCAACGACACCGTACCGCGCGGATATCTGCCGGAGAAGCACGAAGAACGGAAGAAGGATCGGAGCGGGCAGTTCGCCAGCGGTGCAGGATGGCGGAGAAACGGTCCTTCCGGCCGTGGGTCGTCCTCGCGACGATCCTGTCCGGGCAGCTGCTGCTGCTGCTGCTGCCGCTGCAGCCGGCCCGCGGCGAGATCTACACCAAGATGTTCTCGAGCCAGCAGAACCCGAGCGACCCGTGCTACGACGAGGACCGGCCGCGCCGGTGCATCCCCGATTTCGTGAACGCGGCGTTCGGCGCGACCGTCGAGGCGTCGTCCACGTGCGGCACCGGCGGGCCCACCCGCTACTGCGACGTCACCGACGAGCCCGGCGGCACCACCGGCATCGGCCACTGCCACGTGTGCGACGACAGCACGCCCCGGCGACGCTTCCCCGCGAGCTATCTGACCGACCTGAACAACCCGAACAACGTCACCTGCTGGCGCAGCGAGCCGCTCGTCAGCTCGCAGAGCTTCTCGGCGCCGCCCGACAACGTCACCCTGACCCTCTCCCTCGGCAAGAAGTACGAGCTTACGTACGTCAGCCTGCAGTTCTGCCCGCGCGCCGCCAAGCCCGACTCGATCGCGATCTACAAGTCGATGGACTACGGCAAGACCTGGCAGCCGTTTCAGTTCTACTCGTCGCAGTGCCGCCGGGTCTACGGCAGGCCGAATCGCGCCACCATCACCAAGGCGAACGAGCAGGAGGCCCGGTGCACCGACAGTCACCGTTACACCGGCGGCGACGGCCTCGGCCCGGTCGGCAGGATCGCCTTCAGCACCCTGGAGGGCCGACCGTCCGCCGCCGACTTCGACAACTCGCCGGTGCTGCAGGACTGGGTGACCGCCACCGATATCCGGGTGGTGTTCAACCGGCTGCACATGCCGTCGGGCCCGGACCAGGGATCGTCGTCGCTCAACGGCGAGGAGCATCACGTGGCGGCGATCGGGCTGGAGGAGATGACGAAGCGGGAACGCGAGCGCGAGGAACGGCTCAAGAGCCAGAAGAACGCGATTCTGCACGGCCAGGATCCCTTGGTGACGGCCCTGCCGTCGGTCCATCAGGTGATCGCGCCCCAAGAGATGCAGTCCAACGACGCGATCGACGCCGCGGTACGCGACATGGGCTTCGTGCCGGTCACCGTCTCCTCGACCACGACCACGCTCGCCAGCGTGGCGATGAACGGCCTGGGCCCGATCGCCACCGCCACCATGGCCCACCACTACGCGGTCTCGGACTTCGCCGTGGGCGGCAGGTGCAAGTGCAACGGACACGCGGCGCGCTGCATCCCCGGCAAGGACGGCGAGGTCGTCTGCGAGTGCAGGCACAACACCGCCGGCAGGGACTGCGAGCGATGCCGGCCCTTCCACTTCGACCGGCCGTGGGCCAGGGCCACCGCCAGGGACGCCAACGAGTGCAAAGGTTCGTGCCGAACATAAATTCCGTTATACTCCGAATTAAATTATTGGAAATTCCACGCTTGTGCCGTGAAGATTCAATTTAGGTCGCGATGATTAATGTACATACATTTCTACCGATGCAGATTAACTTCAATCTCGGTTTATTTTTCATCTCTTTCTAGTTCTAAGAGTTAAAAAAAGGATAGTAAGTTAAGCCGGGATTAAAGTTGATCTACATTCGTAGAAATGGACATAATGAGCTAAAAATTAGCATATTTGATCTCTGGCTGCACATGTTATGTTCGCGATAAAGTCTAATGGATGTCGTTGCGATATTTGATATCTAAAACATTAGCATGCTTGTTATTCTTCGTCCTCTCTTTATCACCTTTCTTAATGCTGCATTTGCACACCAACATGCTGCAAAGTGTCACTCTTGGTATATATTTAATTTAAGTGGACAGAATATGTAACTCAGTATTGTTCTACAAGTATGTAGAATAGAAAGATATTTTGTGCGCTTTGAGTTA